GTAAAGCAACATCAGGCCCTTTTCAAAACCTACTTTGAAGACACTGTTTAGCCCAGAGCTAGCCCTGGAACAACTCACTCTATATAAGTTTTGGAATGTGGCAATCCCCCCAAAAGAATCTATTAAAAAATACTCAGTTTTAATTCTCAGAAACTGGAGATCTTCTGTATAGTTTGCCTCCTTTAGCTGATTCAGTAAACTTGATCTCTGACCTTTAAATAAGGGTTAAAATACCAGATATTCTCTTCAGACATCTTTTCAAAAGACGTGGCATTGCCTGGCAAACATTTCATTCCTACTCAAAATCAGCTGGCTGTAATCCGTGTTGCAGGTATAGAATGAAAGCACTTACTTGGAAAAAAGTAGAGTACCTTTTACTCTACCCCATGCTCCAAATTGGGATATCAGGTCCATTTTTAGACTTACTGATTTGTCCTATTGATAAGGCAACAGGAAATTCACTGAGAGAATAGGAAAGGTTTGAACACATTTGAACAGAAACCAAGTGAGAATGATCAGTACCCTCTGCATTCCCTCTCCAAAATCACAAGTCCCATGTTAGACTAGATATTTCCAAGCTTTTCAGGGATATTAATGATTGAATGCATTCCATTTTACACCATGTTATATGTTCTCATATCTTTTTTCTTTTAAATTGAAGGAAAACACCATTTTATTATACAATTTAGGATGAATCACAAAGAAATGGGTGTACTACTTTTCGAATACATGCATTCTTCAATACTTGTCTAGAAAAACACAAAATTAAATGTTTAGGTCAGTATATTTTCTAGCAGATATTATTGGTGGAGTGCTGATACAAATAAACCTTTGCAAAAATCAATACAAAAATATTTTGGTTTTCCTCTCAACTAGATAGAAAGTTTTTGCTCTGCGAAGTCCAGCAAACAAACAAAAAATATTTAACACTGTAAAAATCCTTTTCCACTCTTGACCACCAGAGAAATCTATTATATTGTGTCTCAAAGACCCTCTTTTATTCAGGCCTGTTTACACTCAGTCATGTTCTTGATGACCAAATTTTGGATTTCCTGATAAAATATTTAATGAGTTACAAATTTTTCAGCCATTTCCTTGGTTTCTCCAGATAAACTCTTTCAACTACATCTTCTAATTCCAACTTGCATACAACGACAGCCCAGCTGCCTGGAATACTTAATTTGTACAGACAAAAATCCAGCTGGGCATCTTTAATCATTTCCTTGCACAGTCAAGTAGCAACCACCTATGTTCAGGGACATGTGATGGGACTGAAGGGGACACAAGGAGGTAGAAACTATTCCTCCTGTCCACACTTTTCACTGCTCACCATCACTCAAATGCATAGGGCTGTAGAGAAACTTGCTGCAGGTCTACCATATCTATGATTTTTAAATACTGTTATAGATTTAATGTTATGAAAATCAAATAAATTTGAGTAAAATTTAAGCTACCACAGTAGAAAGAGTTTGCATATCAGTTCAATAATTAATTATTTTTTAAATCAGATTATTAGATATCTTCTTGAGTGAACATGAATTCACATAATCTGGGAACTGTTTTCCTGAGTTCATCCAGACACCTCTTTTTAAGCTGCAGGTTTGGACAAACATTTTCTATCACATACCTGGCAGATGAAACATTATGAGTTTTCGTTATTAAGTGCCTATGTTGAAAAACATGGAGAGAATACTTGAAGAGCAAAGAAACCAAAACCAACTCCAAAAGAAAAAAGACTTTCCAAACCCCCAGAAATATCTATGCTTGCATTCTGGTCCTGAAAAACTACCTAATATAGGAAAAGCTTTCTGATCATAATTTTCCCAAACATAAGAAAAGCAGGAAACTATGTAAATACAGGATGATGAAAATGCCAAACCTAAACAGAATCACAAGTGAACATCCATGAAAATTTTAACAAGGAATTATATAAATAGTGCACTGAATTATCTTCAGTTTATAATTACCAACTAGTCATAAGCCACAGACACATAACCCCTTGCAATGCAATTGTCCAGCTGCCACAGTTCACAACAGAGAGAGCTCCCAAGGCTATTATTTCCCTTTTTCCAGTGCATTTCTGCAACATATTTTTGAGTTTTATCTTTAGAGTCCAGCTGGAAGCACGCTTCTGTTGGCAGCTAGTTTTCCCCTATAAACTCCCTCCCTCACGAAGGGAAAATGCAGAACGGCAGTGCAGTGGTAGGAGAAGCAGGAAAGTAAAGGGAAAAAATACAATCAGAAGCAGCAGAAGCAGTAGTTCTACCAGACCTGTGTATTAGACAGCATCTTTTTAGTCATAATAACTCTTCAAATGCACCTCATCATAAGCTATTACACACCACACCTCTCACAAGAATAGGCATGCTTGCTATGTTTCTGTGCTCTCATTTTACATAAGCAACCTTTGTTCTCCTTCTCTCAAAGTAACAAATGAAAAATCAAAAGAAAGTCAGCAAGATTCATACTAAAGCACATTTATACAAGTAGTTTTTCCAAGTATGCCCAAAAGGCATCTAGAGAAGAGTAACTGAATTAATTTCAATTACCTGATCTTCTGAACAATAAACAAAAATCAGCATAAAGTTTCAGTAATAAAGCAGTCAAACATGAGTAAGGAAGCTCAAAACTCAGTTCACTTCTTTCAAAGTCAATTTAAAAGGAACATACCTTAGGGAATCCCCACCTGAAAAGGAAAGTACTCCTTTATTAGGCCAACTCAAGTTAGCATACACAGAGTAGAAGAAAACTGCACTTGTTAAGGTTCAGCTTTGCAGATAGGAAAGGCTAAAACTCTTACATTGAAGGTAAATTATAGCATCCAAAATAAAGGTTATCAAAGGAGGAACAGCTGCCTTAAAGGTTATAGGTTGATCCCACTAGTAATTCTCCATGTTAATAATCTTTAAACAAGAAATTTCTCTCAGAGCTGTTTTCCAACACTTTATCTCCAAAAAAAAACTTGTAAGATACAACAAGCCTTATGTTTTTGTCTGTCTTGTTGACAGATTAATAAACCCTACAGTTTGCTACATATAAATATTATTTTCTTTTATAGTCTCAGGTTTACCTTTCAGTGTGAGATTTAGCAAAAAGTTAATTTGCATTATAAAAACTCTTTTCAGACCTTCAAATTCATATGCTAACATTTTCAGCTATCAAAGTTATATGCATAAATACTGGGCTCATGCCTTTATATTTCCAGAATTAGCAGTTGAAACTAAGCATTTTGATAATGGAAACAGACTTTGGGGCTCTGGTTTACCTGCTAAACCTCTTCCTGGAAAACTGTGGTGCTGGAGAAAACACATCCTGTGTGCAGGTTTCTTGGCTGTGCAGTGTCACACATCACCCAGGAGCTGTCACTTCAGCAGAAGGAGCAATATCAACTTAGACCTATGAAGAAAGCACAACACCCAGCAAAGAACACATTAACTTCCTAGTTAAGGACAAGAGGAGTCAACTCACAATCACTGCAGCCATTTCCTAATTAGAAGGCAAAGGGGAAGAGTCCTGGAAATAGGTTAGAGCAACCAAAGGTCTGAACTCACAGATCAGCTAAACGCTGCAGTTCTCTTCCAAGCATCGATACCCAAAATATCCATAGAGATTTATATCTAGGCAATACATGGAGCTGCCTAAAGACCTGCACACAGAAAAATACACTCAGAAGCCAGCAGGTTGAAGATAGTCCTCCTAAACTATTTGGGGGAATAATGAGAGCCACAGGTCTAGAACTGCAGCGTTTAAACCTTTGCTGGTCTTATAACAATATGGCCAGAAACTCTCTCCTGGAATTTGGACCTGAAAACCGTTCTCTGCCAACTGACAAAGGAGCAGGCACTTGTACTGCCTCTCTCTGAAAAAACCACCTACCCACCCAGGGCACAGACCTGGGATTTCAAACCTAAACCCACCCCTGCTACAACAAGATACTGTGATTGAGGGATGCTCCCAAATGTTTCTTCAAGAAGCAAAGAGCAATTTAAACATTTATTTGGCAATAGAGAATACACCTGGTAATCGAGACACCATTTCCCCTCATGTTTAGGATTTGCTCTGATGCCTGCTCAGAGGAGCAGAAAGCAGAAGGAAAGGGAATGGCACACACTGACACGCTGAAGTGAGGCCAGTGAGGCACTTCTGCAGAGGGGGGCTCAGCTCCAGCCTGGCCCAAGCAACAGAGAAAATGTCTGGCAGATATGTTGTAGCCAGTGGCTTTGGGCTCCTCCATGGTGAAACAAGCACTGAATGGGCTGTTTTAAGTACTCAGATTTTTTATTTTGGTACTGCGTGCTAATTAAGCACCTTAACCCAGCTGTGGAACACATTTAACAGAAATACAGGAGCTTGATCAGTCTTACAGTAGGCTAATTTTGTTATGATTGTTTTAAATGCCTACTAAAAACTATCTGCATATCCTAAGTGTGATTGAAAAATTAATTCTATTTCTTCTTATACAAACAAATGGCTCTTAGCATTTTCAGAATGGTCCCTGGATTCTATAAAAACTGGAAATGCCATGAAGATACATTCACAATTATGAACAAATTTCTTTGCACATTTACCATCAGCATTAGTTTTTCTGAGTTTAGTTTTAGTATTACACCATTTTGATTTTCAGCATGGCAACTGTGCACAAGCATCATCTGGGTGGTGAATGCTGGGGGTAGCTGAACTGCTCTATAGGAGCTCAGCTGGGTGGTGTTCTGTGCATGTGCAAGGCAGTGTGATATCTGCCTTGCTTAGACTTGACTGCAAGCAAGCCAGTTCTTTAAAACAGAGGAATTTCTAAATTCACAGAGCCAAAGGGCTGGCAAGTGAAGAACTAAATGACAAATACCACATCAGCTGAACATAAAAGCATTCCATGTAACAGAAGATACCCACACTTTAAGACCAGAGACCAGTTTAACTCATTAACCATGCAGGATAGCAAAACATTTGTTACATAACAGCAACTTCACATGGCATTTTTACATCCTGCCATCTTTTCACAGAAGAACAGAAGATTAGACTTCTACAGACTCTGAGAGACAGGGAGTGGAGCCAGCAGCAATATTTAGCAGAGTGACTGATTTCTGGCACCATCTAGCTTCTCTGCAACAGGAATCTGGCAGCCTGGTAGGTGCTTTTCAAAGACACTGATTGAATAACTGATACTAGTGCTATACAAATGCTCAAGACAGCACAAGAAAGAATAAGAAATAAAGTAGTTTTGGGGCTTAAGACCTACTAATTTTTTTTTCTCCAAATAAAGATGGTGAGGTAAAAATCCTGGGCAGAATACCAAACCAAGAGAATGCAGACTCTGTTTATCATTCAGCTTCTGACTGTGCAACTCTGCCAAATATCTGTAACGTATATGAAAGTACTAGACAAAAAGAAGCTATAATGCAAGCAAGACTATTAATTGTTCATTTTCATGAAATATGGTATAATCTGAAAAGAACAGATTTGTTTTGACCAGTGGGCCTATTCCTAGTTCCACTCAGGAACTGCAAAATTCCAATGGTTATTTGTAACTATAAGACAGTGGATTTATATTCATTCACTGCACTTAAGGGGTTTTGAACACTGAAAACTTCAATCCCCCACCACCAGCTCTGTACAGAGAACTGCTGACCATTTGAGAAAAGCAGACATGTTTTGTGCTGAACGTCAAAATTTGTTAAATGATGAGATATACAGCCTTTGGATGCTTGTGCTCTGTAAAATTTTCCAGAAAAACATTTACTTGTCAGCATGAGGACATGTTTACAGACTCACACATTGGTAAACTACAAAGGAAGACAAATAAAGTTGGTTTATATCCTCAGCAGAGGAGAAAATGGCAGAGAAAAGGGGGGCAAAAGAAAAAAAATCTTTCTGATCTATACCAGACCAGCAAGCAGAGTCTTTGCAATTCAGAACTTCTCTCCAATTCCCAAGTGTAACTTTCTTTCCATTTGCCTGAAATCACCTGCAATGTGCTTTAGGAGCTAATCCCTACACATTTGGTTTACTCGGCATAGGCCCAATAAAAGCAGGGATTCTCAAACGCATTACAAGCCCAACCCACCCTCTCACCTCGTCTTTTCAATTGTGTGTGACCACAGCTACTGAAAATAGAAAATTAGCTACATTTACACACAAGTAATACATAAGATGGAAGTAATACTAGATGGAAAAAAATGGAACACAGTTACATGCTTTTTCCTATAATCCACTTAAAGTAATATTTCTCTCAGGGTCATAACGTATTTAGTTAAGGCAGTTTCTCAGTAAAGAGGTCTAGGGCTATTCTGCTGTCGATTCATTCATGATCACCTCTGGTTATGTGTTATCATTGAATAACTGAAGTGTAAATGCAAGAGAGGCACACACATAGTGTGTGTTTCAATGTATTTCAAAGGTTTTTTATTTAAAGAAGTCTTATGTACTCTTCTCCCTAGGTATGCTGGTTTTTTAGACTCCACATTTTCCAATACTTTTGGTTATACAAGACTAAGAAGGACCATATATTTTTCATGACAAAGGGACATGTGATGACTGAAGATTAATAAGCCAGTATTTGGTGTGGCATGAATAAGAGTATCTAAGTGGAAAGGAATTTCAAGATTTAGATCTAAGAACTCAAATACACCCAATCAGAACCACAGGCAGAAGTCTAAACCAAAATTTGAAACTACCCTCAAAGTCAGCACCCGTTATTTGAAGACACTTTGTACTCACTGAACAGTTACAGATCACAATGAAAGAGCAAGCAAAGCAAAATGAGATAATGAGAGCAAAGCAGAGAACATGCTCATAGAGGGGAAAGGGAAATTGAGACATATGTCATTAACATCTGACTTGGATGTCTCTTAATGGGTTTATATTGAGTTCTATGTTATTCAACTGTGATTACTACAAAGAATGAGTTTTTACATCTCAGAATATTCTGGGTTGGAAGGGACCCACAAGCATCATCAAGTCCCATTTGAGTGAACAACCCACAGGGGATTGAACCCACAGCTTTGGTGTTAGCACCACACTCTCACCATGTCTAGAACTAAAGTATCTTGGGCTATTGCACGCTGTTCACCCGAGAGGCCAACTGCAAGGAATTTAACAGATTTCTGTGATATTCCTACACTCAGATTTCAGTCTTCAGTGATGTACAAAAGAAAAGCACTGGGATTTTCAGAAGCAATTCCCCTGAGTGTCAAGGAAGGATAATTTTTTAAATCCCTTGGTCCTTTTGAAATTCTCTGCATGCAATTTCAGGGTAATGCATTGTTTTAAAAAGTCTATTAGGGAATTCTCTAGAAAGCAAAAAGTTAGATTTCCTGATATGCACATATGCAAACCTCTGGCTCCTGCATTCTCATATACCAAAATGTTGCAAATTTAGCCAAAAAAACAAAAAAAAAAACAAATAAAAACCAATCCCAAAACAAACAAAACCAAAACAAAAAAAAAACCCAGAAAACAAAACAAAAAACTAAACCCATAGCCACTAGAATGTACTACATTTATATAAATATTTTCAGAAGACACATTATGCAGGTCATCCAATATAATCATAAAGAGCTGAATGAGATTTTAATCCTGAAATTAAAATACCCAAAATAGGTGCTTAAAGATGGAAAAGAAGGCGAAGAACAGAGGAGACAGTTAAAGTGCTAAAAGCATTACAGGAACCATTATATTTTATATTCAGGTGGAGTTTGTCATGAGCAGCCCACTCCCTTTTGGCGCTGAATAATTCCCAGCATTTTCATATCACATCTCAGATACACATATCAAAGACAACTTTCTAATCTTGCAAGTGTGCTTAGAGAAAAGGAAGAAGAGAGCAAAAAATACCAATAAACTGCACCTTTCTCCCTTGTCCTCACCTTACTGGCCAACACTTCTTGTTTTTATCAAGTATCTGTAGAATTCTCCTCCTAGAGAGAGGAGAAGACTGAAAGAAGGAAACTGATTTTTATGTGCATCCTATTGTGCTTTTATCTTATAAATTAAGATCAATTTTATATATATATTTCTCCAATAACAGGCAAAATTTCAGTTGTAGACAAAAAAGTGTCTAGGATCTGCTACTTTTATTGGCTTGTTAAATCAATATTACATTAGAGAAGAATCTAGATCTCAGAAATCATTTGTCTTCAAATTCCTCCCAGTTTTTACTGCAGAAGTATGGTGAATCACTAAGTATTTGAGCTGTTTGTTCTCCTTCCTCACCTCATTGTGTTTGACATTAGATTAGTAGTGCTGTGAACACCACGTGACAATAATACTGAGCTCAAGACAGGGACCCTCATGTGCCAAGAAAAAAAAAAAATCTACATTTCACAACAAGAAAATTAAGTTTCAGAAACGTGACACTGGTTGTATCTTTCTTTGCTCATATTCTATTCTTCCTTCCATCCTATTTACTAATTTAGTTCTTCCTCAGTCTTGTACTCCATCTCCAAGCCTTCAGTGACAGCTTTTGGAACCTTAAACCAGTCTCAAGCAATAGGTTGAGGTCAGCTGTCAGATCCATGGGATCAGAAAGATCAGAACACATTTATCCAAAGTCCAAGCTATGCTGCCTGCTAGTTATTGGCTGGAATTGAAAACAAAAGTTATATTAAAAGACAGCAGGATCATTATTTCTCCTTTCTGCCCCACCTCCTCAAGTGCCTGAGGTCATTTTCCACAACAAAAATGAAAGCCCTTCTTGAAAGTGTTTTTGTGCTAAACAGCAGTGGTTAATTTCTTGCAACTAATTAGTTATTCAAGTGAAAGTATAATGATCCTCCAACATGATTGAAAGTGCTTCAACTGAGTTTCCTGCTAACAGCATACTTCTAGAAAAGATGCAATAAATCAGCAGGGTTATGGAAATCTTTAAACAAAAGCAAGCCTATGACAGGAACCATTAAAGATACAGCCATGTAATATTTATGCACCTAGCTGACTTGTGCTTTTAACCCAGCACTTTCAGCTATAGCTTTTTAGCACCTGGGTCATATTCAGTAAGAGTGAATTTCACCCTATCTGCTAACAGCCAGCGCCATGTCTCTGCTTTAGGTGTTCGGAGTATAGGGGTTAAGGGATGGAACTTCCCTCCAAATGGAATTTCATCCAGATATTTCTAAATAAAAATACAGATAGAACACCATTGAACAGCACAGAAAATGTAATCTGTGAGTCTCAAGCTCCCTGATTACCTTTAGCAGGAAAGAGGCAAGTACGGACACAAGAATGGTTTATAAATCCAGGGAGGTATTGATGCAGAAACAAAACTCCTCAGAATAGCCAGTATTACCTATGATGGTTCAGATTATGATTTGTGATTAGGAGTGGTTACCACAGTGGTGAAAGGGGATCTCTTGAGACTTTTTCTGTAAAAGTCTGACTGTGTAAAATCCACTTACTCCTAAACCTACTAATTCATTTCAGAGTTTGTATTTAAATGTGTTGGGTACTGCAGAAAAGCAAGACCCTGTGGTTGAAAAAAGCATTTTGATAATGTTTGAAGCTTCTGGGTGGTACAGATATACCAATCTGTTTAAATCTCCAAAACAAAGAGATATTTCCCTTTCTTTTTTCTCATTAAACTGCCTGCATGTGTGCTTGCATGTATTTTTAAGCTACACATAAGTGCACATGAAGCAAAGAGAATTGTTTAATTTATTAACTTATTTGGCTGTACATGCTTTCTCTCATCCCATTCACTCATTTATTTCATTGCCAATCTCCCAGTGAGTCTTCTCACAGTCTTAAAAGACAGAATTTGGATTCACAAACCAGTTTGAGCTGAGGACTCAAATACAATTTCCTGGCCTACCTTTCCTTGCTGCAGAAAAGGGAAACCTTGCTGGTGTGAGGTTGAAAAAGGGAGAGTTCAGGGAAAGATGTAGGAACTGCAGTTTACTTGGGACTCTGGGGGTGGGAATTGAAAGACAGAGAAAAGGAAACCAGACATCAGTCCCCCTTCCTGCTAAAATCAACTTTGTCTTCACGATAGGTTTTTGGGCCAATGACCACTTTCAACTCACACCTTCTGTTGGAAAAATAAATTAGGAGTCCAGCTTTATTCTGTCAATAGAAAGTTTAAAGTGGTCACTGGAGCAAAAAGCTTTTCAAAGGGTAGCTGAGCTCAACAAGAACAAGGAGGAGGATGTTGAGAAAGCCACAAAAACACAGGCAGATTACAAACCATTAAAGGCTATGCCATTTTTCAATAATAAAGATAAGGCCTTTAGAACAGTTCTGGTAATTCGTATCTATTTATTTCTTTAGAAGAATATGTATTACTTAAAAAAGCCTCTCCCAGAGCTGTAAAAGATATTTTATGTTTGTGTGTGTCGGTCTTGATAAACAAAAGCCACCAGAAAACAGTAAACTAACTAGGCATTTGCTCCCTGAATACATGGGATTATGCTTCGCATTTGTGCTGTAAATCATTGGATCCTGTACAAGTAATTGTACTGCAATGGGTTTTGCTATGCTAAATATTTAAACTGTGTGCCCAGTCCTTCAAAGTCTGAGCTTATTCTGTGTTCAGAGCTTTTTAGAGTTGAGTCAATAGCATATTTGTTTTGAATGGCTGCTCCTAGATAACAGTAACAAAAATCCAAAACTTGTTTACATCATTTAACATGCCTAAGAGCTTAGCCTGAGACATTAAAAAAGCCACACAACAAGCAACAGAAAAATGCAATCCTTTAGCATAGTCTCTACTGGTGAAAAGAAGTTACACCATCAAAAAGCAAAAAGAATGTTTTGCCAACTCTGACCAAGAATTGCTTTGTTTTTAAAGTGGAGCAATGACTGGCACAAAAAGACTTCAAGGAATTTCCTCTTTCCCTGAAGATAGTCATGAGCTTTCTACTGCCCCAGACTTCGTGTTGTAGTGATTGTAAGGATAGAGGTCTCTTGTGGGTCCTAAGCAGAAGCCCTTGCTTATCACAGTGTGCAAAACATGGAAAAGAGTCAAAACAAAGCAAATCAGGCAATTCCGTCAATCCTAGGAAAACTGTTCCCATCTGAGCAGTACCTTCAGCTCTAACAGGCCCTAACATCAGCTGTGTAGCAAATAACCCTGCCCTACTTTCTTAACTTGAATTACTACGCTAAGAACAAGACTTCACCAACATGTACACACCAACACTCATGGAGTGCTCTACACATTCTCAAATTGCATTTGTGGTCTAAATTCTGTAAAGTAAGGTGATATTTATGGGAATAAAGATGAAGCATAATTTCTCATCTGTTTCAAATTACACATTAGGAATACCAAGGATGTTAGTAAGAAATAGATTAGCATGCAGAAATTTCACAAAGGAAAAAAAAAAAAGCAGAAATGCCAAAATACAATTACATCAAAGGAAATAATGCAACCAGGCAATGATTTACCATCCGCACATTTTTAGAATCACAGTTCTAATTGTTAGAATCCAGTGCAGTGTAGTAGACACAGTATTTGAAAAAACAAGCCTTTCATATCTCTGTGCTACCTCGAGAGCTCCTGATACCTAATCTGGAAGCAGACAAATCCCAAAAAGGTGCCTCTTTTCCAGTGAAGACGTGACTTCCCCTCCGAGGGCCTGGGGCACTGTGCCTCACATGCTAATAGCTTGAGTTGTGTGCAATAGCCCTATATTGTTTATATAGCACTTCACATGTTCAAAGCACTATGAGATATCGGCCATCACTACACTTTTATGAGGCTGTAAGTATTACCCACTAAACATCAGGGTTCAAATGACTTGCTCTTGATCAAAAGAAACTTTGTGCAGCAGGACCATAATTATTTGAATTTGGTAATTCTCGCAGACCATTCCTATGGCAACACAGAATGAAGAGGGGGATGGGATATCAAAGCCAATTGCTATCACACTCTGTGCTGGCAGTGAGATGGACACATAGACGATCTCTTAAGCTAACCTACACTCACAGCACCTTTTATAGCAAATTCTAGAAAATTATTTTTAAAATAAGGAGCAAAAATGAAACAAAATGTTTTGAAAGCCCACAAGCATGTTTGTCTAAATGTATCTATTTCACATATTCACTGTGAAGAATATAGAAGACAACATGCAAACGGTACTGAAGTACTCCAGATATCCCAAAAGGGGGTTCTGAAGCAGTTTAGGAGTTTATATATCAAGAAGATTAGTAGGCAACTTAAAAGCAAATAGGTCCATTTTCTGTGGAAAAAGAACTACAGTCTTGTGTCTTGTGGCTGACTACAGTAGGACTTAACTTCTAAACATATAGAATGTTTTTGCTCTTCATTTTTATACCTATGTTCTTCCTATGAAAATTCAACTATGCTGACATTTATATAGTTTGTCTCAAAGTATCAAGTCTCTGTTCCTGAAAAAGAATACCAACACAAAGGAGACGTTGAAAAACAACCAATGTACCCACAGTATATATGACAACCAAATAAAGGCTTGACATAAATGCTAAACAGGATAGATGCTGAAGATTCTTCTCTTTACAACTGAAATCAATTTATCCAAAAATCCTAACACTGAGATTGAAGACAGAATAAGAAAACTCTTATGCTCTGCCTTTCCATCCTGTCCCCATCCTATCCTACAATAATGTCTTTCCCACCTCTTACACAGCCCTGGTTTCCACACACACCATATGTTTTCAGAGCACAGCTTCACAGTTATTTGCCTTAGAACCTTGCCTGCAGAATCACGTGGGAAATAGATCATACTGCTAAGACAACAATGTAGACCACTACACACAATCCAGATTCATCAAATAAGAAAAGGGTGCCTGTTTAAAGCTATCACAGGAAGGGGGAGGGGAAGAAATTCTCTTCAAAGGCAGCAATGAGTGCAGAGAGAATTACTAACAGAACCTTTTGTGTTTTAGCCAGGTTGATCATGTTGCTGCGAATATTTACCCTCTCTCTTACAACTTTAACTTGGCATTTTTCAGGTACAGGCTATATAGAATTAACTCTGTGCCAGACTATGCTTGCAATTTCTACTGTTTTGATTAATATTGCCTGAAATGTTCAATTACTGAAATATTTGCTAAAATATTAAAGTTTAACATCAATAGGTGAGCATTACTTCATGGCTATTAATGTAAGAACCAGTTACTATACTCCATCTACTGATCTAAAGAACAGATGTTTGCATATGATTTATGGACACTGAAATATGTGCATATCTTCCATAAATAGTAATGTGTTCCAGTAACAAAGAGTAGAGAATTGTGATCCATAAGACTGGGAAGTTGTAGGCAGTATTAGAATTTATTTACCAATTTCTTGGCTTTAAATAAAAAGCAAATCTCATAGAGCCAGGGCCTGGATCCTGTATGCTGGAAAAGTGCTTACAATGTCAAACAGGACTAACAACATGAAGTAATAAATTGCAGTTTGGCTCAAACAGGCAGATATAAAAGTCCTTTTAGAACATGAATGTAACTATGATTTGTTAAATAAGAGTAACAATTTATATTGATTAAGATGCAATAAATCTAAACGGTAAGCAAAAAGCCAATATTACTGTGTGTACTTTCACATTAAATATGGGCTTGGAAGTTTCTTCAGTATCAAGATGTAACAAAATACTAATCAGGTATAATTCTAATGGGTAAAGCATGGTTTTGAGCTCTGCAATTAAATTATTTCTGGAAGCGCAATCAAATATCTGATTGAGCTAATATCACTACTGCTCCTCACATTTGTTCTGTTCCTAAATTAGCTTGGCTAATCAGTATCCCACCTCATAGCCTGTGTTGTAAACATGTAATATTAGCTGATGGGTTTCATTTCAAGAGCACAGTCAATTTTTGGACAGCAAACTAACCCAAAAACTTAGTCAAAGCCTACAAACACACAAAGCAGCATGTTTGGAGATGTCAGTTTCTGGGCCATCAGAACTCTGATAAGACTGAGTGAACTTCAGATCACTCTGTGATGGCTGTGCACGTTAAACAAGTTTTGATTTAGTTTAAAAACCAGTTTTCTGGACAATATTTCACCTCAAACCGTTTTCTGTTTTTCCACCCTCTTTTTCTATGAGCAAAAACCAGGAATGTACAAAAAAGCAGCCTTGTAGAATACAGAATTTAAACACAGCAATCACAATTTTTTGCTCCTGTCTCAGGTTGCCATGCACTAGTGCTTCAAGATGTTATGCAGCTGCTACTCTTCCCCAGAGATGGCTGTACTCCAGAAAATGGTGAAATACTCCCTCAAACTTTTTTTTTTTTTCCCCAGCAGAGGTTAACAGGGATGTTTCCATAGGTCTAAGGCAACATGAAAACATGGTGATTGTGTGGTTGGATTTCTTGAAAAACATTAGCTTTAGATTTACTGCATCAGTAATTAGGAGCTGATGCTACACTCCAACACACTGCAGAAACAACTGCAGTTACTGTCTGTAGAACACAGTGAGTCTTAGATTACGGTGATTGTTATTTGATTCTGTCCTTGCAGTTTTTTAGATCACAGAAGAAACAAATACTTTTCATTTTGTCCTTTTGATAGCTGCACAGATTTTTTACTTTCAGCATATAACTCAAAGTCATCTAAGAACAAATTGAATTTCTAAAAACTACAGTCAACTGGATTTAATTCCTTTCAGTGGAAGCACAACAGTGTCAATACTTACTGAGATTTAGTATTACTGCTGATTTATTGAAAGTAAAATGTCAATGCAACATGAAAATTTGTCATTTTACAAAGGTTTAATAAAAAAGATGAACACAACACAAAAAATTGAAAATATAAGAACCAATAACTGATCATTCTAATTCACTTTTTTCCAGATGAGCATCCAGGTGTCAGCTGGTGTAAACCCAGATGCCACTGACGTCAATGGAGCTGTCAGTTTACTCTAGCTGAGAATCTGATCCCAAGTGTGCTACTGCCATTTTTAGACGCTGCCAATGGAATTGACTTTTGCAAGACAATTAAAAAAAACACATCCACACAACATTGCATTTCTTCCTGTCCCCGAGTGTTTAACTGGAAGTCTGTTGACAGACTGTGGGAGAGGGCAAGTGGGAGGTGGAAGTAGCAAACAACTGCATCCATGAGATAACTTTGCAGTATCAGTACGAACACTGTTCCGTTGTCTTCCTTTATACAAACAAATATTTGGCTTCAAAAAGTTTTAACTCCACCTACCACTAACAAACAATTCCATGTCAGCGAAAGAAAAATGATGCTGTAAACCACGTGAAGTACCTACCTCATAAATTTGCTAACATAGTACTTTCAGCAGTACACATTCTGGATAGATTGTTTTAATGCAATATTAGAAAAAAGTACCTAAAGCTACAAGTGCCCCAAGCCTGAGTTCTGTGTATTCACCTAAGTATTTGTTCCTAAGCAATCTCCCTGCTGTACCAGCAGAAAGATTGGTAACAGTTCTAAGGCAGCTGTTTCAAGTGGCCTGGAAGCCAGAATTTGATCTGGCTGACATCTTTCATATCTCATCGAGCATATGTGTGGGCAAGAGAGGAGGAAGAAAGGAAAAGGTGGGGCAATAAGCAGGGCAGAGTACTACTTGACAGCACCACCATTTCTAAGCAGGAAGAGGGAGTTTTTGCCTCTGTTTCACATAAGGCAGTTGTTAACATGAGTGCATTGTATAACAGCTTCCCAGTATTAACCACTACAATGAAGTTGGAATGTTGGTCTTTGATTCAACATAGCAAGGTCAAAATGGAAAAGGTAATTAATTAGAACTGAAGATGCAGTTCACATAGTATTGAAATAATTGCCTATTTGTGCAAGCACAACAACCATATCTTCAATTTAGGTCAGGCCATCAAGAGGAGGAAAAGGACTGAAGACTGAAGATGAGATGCTCTACTTCACACAGTTGCCCTCTGGAAGGACTTGCAAAGGCAGTCACTTAAATTAAGTACAGGTCATCAGACAAGATATCTAATCTATTCCTAAGACAGGCAGCTCCAGCAGTCCAAATCCCTATGGCCTTTGCAGCAACACGATGAACTACTTCCTCATGTACCTCTGTCAATTCACGTTAGGTTGCAGTTTTTTTAAAGCGATATTTCATGTACATCATGACCCTATTGCTCAAAGCAAGGAAAGTGCTTTGGTTTATTTATGACCTACTAACCTTAAATAAAAAAAAAAAAAATACATCCAATCTGAATGCTCACATAAGCCTGCAGATCTGAAATAAAATTTAAAATAAAGCTGGCATTTGTAACAGCTAGCTAAGCCCAATAAGGGATTTAAAAAAAAATGAAAACCAGATGAAAGAAGATGAAAGCATATTTACCCTGCATAACCTGCACACATCAGGAATCAGGGCTGGAACCCAGAAATACCTTTCCTACTTAGAAGTTTCAGCCCATTTCCACGGCTAGGTGACCAAGGAAATACTGATGTTTTCCATGATGGGGGGTGGGGAGGCATTAGTAACAACCTGTGAAAGTAATTCCTTCGAAGATGTAATCCACCCAGCCACAAACTCTCCTCTCCTTCCCCTGCACCCCATCCCCATTGCCAGATATCAGCCAGGCAAGCCTCCACACTGAAATATGAAGTGACAGATGGAAGCAGGGAATAAGGGCATAGGAATGAGTACTGAAAGAAATGGCGTACAGAAAACAAGCTTATAATAGGGCAGATCTTAAACATGAGCAACCTAAAACATAAAGTTAATTCATTTGGCTAGAACAATGTTGAACAGATGCACATAAGACTGAGTTGGAGAGCCTTATTCTCTCATCACTCATGCCAGTGTGCAGAGGTCTTCTCCTAACATCCATGGAATTAAACCTTGGAAATTGCAGTACAAATAAATGGAGAAATAAAAATAATCACAGCTAAAGTATTGGCAGCAAATATCCTGTGCTGCTGTATTGGGAAAGAAAGGTGGGCTGCCACATTAAATTAAAATGTATTTGATTTAGCTATATTCATAATCAAAGTGACCTTCATAAACAAAACACATCTAATCCACCTTAATAGTTGATTCTGTTCCTGTCTACTTCTCCAGTAGGCTATATTAATGACTTTTTATTTTCGTTGTATTAGATGGAAAATACATTTGAGTTAAATTATGCAACAAATACCTCTACAGAGAGCAACTAGTTGACAGAAACAGTTAGGACCAAGTCCCTGTCATAGTGTTTGTTTACAAAATAGGCTCAGGCAGCACACTGATGATCTTTAGTGTGGGTTCCCTTAACACAAGTACAGACAAACCCTCAAACATTTTTAAAGCCTTATAAATAACAATGGATGGGAGAGAGTAGAGGGCATCTCTAACCAAAGGATAAGGTAAACAAACAAACAGCAATTCATGTAAGTCAATGAATCAGCCACATAATTTCAGCACACTAAAAAGTGGACCTAGCAGAAAAAAATTCTGACAAGCTGAGCTTCAAGAACATCTGCATCAGAACTCTGCTCACAAAAGAAAATAAGGTAAAATTTCTGTATTATAATGTTTTGGCTTCTTATCCAGCATCTAAAACTCTTCTGCAACACAAAACCTACAACCATAATTTTTACGTATTATTTATTTTTATTAATAATTGGAACAAGTGAGTTGGAAAGCTCAGAAGATGAAGAAAAAGTGCTGTGTTACTGTGGAAATTTTTAAGAATAAGGACTTCGCTGTGTAGTGATCAGCTGAATGTGCACAACATGCTGACACAAAAGAAATTAAAATAAATATAGGTCAAGCCTTGATACACAGTCACCTTTTTTCCTCCTGAAAACTATCACAACAGGTTCTGCATGTGTGAAAATTTGTAAGGAAAAAAAGGCCTTCTCTCTCTGAGAAGTTTTTTGAAAAATTAAGCCTTCTTTAAAGAAAATTTATTTTTCATCAATCTTAAACAAATTTTAATCCGATTGAACCATGTCAATAGAAGAAATTTTGCTCAGTTGAGCAATCTCTAATTGGCAACACTAATTTGTAAAACTCTTAGCCAGCTCTGTTCATTTATGGGATCTCATGTTTTGTTTTACTGTGAAGTTCAGTCTTGTGAAATACCAGACAACATTAATCCACTCGTGCCTGGATCTCTAACCTTTATTTTTAAAGCCTGAGTAACAGAAACATATTTTCTTTTCATAGAAAGAAGCCTGGGAAACTGCCAGCTCCTTGCAGAAAGACTGAAACATGATCAGCAGAGAAGGGTGTTTGTTTCGGTAAGAGAAAAATGATTGAAGTTGCATCATCTGTAAAATTAAAATCACTGCGCGAATTTTGATTTTCCCCACCTACTTTCAGACATTTGAGGATGCAGTCAAGTCAATGGAGTTCTGTTGTAGTGGTTGCTTCAGTGAACATTCAACGCTGTCGGTGAGTTTGGAATTAAAGTGAAAACCATCGACCGTTGATTGTACCCTCCAGCTAACCATCCTCCTCCTTACTTCATGCTTTCAGGCCTTAACACCGAAGATAGCAACCTAACCATCATATGATGTTTCTCCCTCACCCTGCCAAGCTTTACAAAAAGGTCACAATCAACATTCATTGCTGTCGGTGGGTTTAACTATGTGGACAAGCTCACTGAACAATGAATGCAACTGTGGCCCCACATTGTACAGTTGCTGTTGAGAGGAGCAGCAGCTCTGAAGGAAATAGTGAGAAGCAAACACTTCTTATAAGCTACAGTTGTCTGGTCAGAAAAATTGTTTGGGGTATCCACTTTTTGCTTGCTTGGTTTTGATTGTATTTAATTTAGCAGACTAGAAAAAAAAAAAAAAACAAACCCCACTGCCTTTTTCTGGAGTATTGTCCTCACAGGGTTCAGTACCATTGAAAATGTGAAAATTCTTATTTACTATGTGTGCAGAAAAAATAACAGGACAGGAAACTCTGTATGTTCACTCCTAAGGATTGTGGCATAAGAGGAAAGAAGATTTAATTGCCATTTAAGTAGGCATTGTTGAAGAGTTCAAAAGTTTATTCTATACTTGTCATGACAAATACAACTGGGAACAAATGGAATTTAAGAGTTATGGATAAAAATCTTATATAAAAAAATTAATTTTACATTAAACTGATTTTAAGAACACAAATACTATTGCATTTGCTATTTTTAGGGATCTGAAAGATGGTAAAGAAATGTATACCCAGAAATAATAATGGAAAAGCTGTTAAATTTTAAAGTTACTGTAAACTGAGTACCTATGTCACACTCTGAGTTTTGCAATAAGAAAATAAATGGTAAATAAGCTCACAATTGTGTCCGTATTTCTTTGTAACCCTTTATTAACCTGGTCAGCCACAAAAAAGGACCAGTCGACATTTCTCGCTTCACACAATCATCCAAGGTAAGTTCAGCCTTTAGACTCAGTGCAACTCAAAAACTCTGCAGCAGAAATTGCTTACAAAAATCAGGAAAACTCACAGCATATCATCATATCACTCATATCATTCTTCTCATTATGGGAATGTTTATAAACAGTACTTTAGTCTGATTATTTACAAAGTTTCCTCAGCATATTAGTCACACAAGTAATCTCGTGTACTGAGCTTGCTTGGTTTATCCCTGTTTCACTGTGTAGGAACTGAACAGCAGAAAAGTGTCAAGGCTATCAGGGGACAATACACCTATAGTCATTTCTTGAACTGGGACAATACATCCACAGTCATTTCTTGAAATGTTATCAATTTAATTAAATGGTAGGAATGCATTTCAATCATGAAAGAGATCATGAAAGAGTCCTCTGTCACATGTGAAACTAATATTTATAGACTCCTCCAATTCCTCAAAAACATAACCACACTAGCAAAATAAGTTCTGAAATTATTTGGGCATTATTTAAAATTAGTGTTTGGGAAGATTATATTTTTTTCATTCCAATATTCACTGGAGAAGAACCCACATGCTGTGTTGCTCATTGGATACTATCATGGTCAGAGACAGAAGAGCATAGTATTAAAAGGAAGAGTTGCTATGGATAAATGATTTCTCAGCAACACTGTTCAGAGATAAGCCTATATCTTTATGTTTACCCATTTCTACAAAAATGGGAATTTGAATTACTACAGACTTACATACTGGAGGGAGATAAAGATCATATTAAAAGCAAGGCTCAGAGGTATATGTTCTGTCTAGAAGGAGAAAATTTCAAATTAAATTGTAACTAGTATATTTTTGCTACAAAACAAAGTTCTTTACTGAAACTTAAAAACCAGCTCTTCATTTTGCAAAACACTTATTAATGCTAGTTATAGATGTGTTATGTGCCTTTAAAAGAGAAAATACTTATCGAAACAGAAGAATCTGGAATTTCTCAACACTGGGAAGAACTAATGTCCTGGAACATGAGTGTTTCTGTATATATATTTTCTCTGCTAACTGATAATGCCTGAATGATTAGCATTGAGGAGGGACAGACTCCACTGCAAGAAAAAGATAACGTTACACCCTTTTTTAAGGCAGTACTTTTCCTCAAAAATATACATCTCTCCTGATTTCTATTATCATTTTGTTCCATACACTCACTAATGGAATAACAGCTATTCCTACCTACCAAGTCAGGGTGCAGAAACCTCAGCCAGCATTGACCTAGGCACAGATAGTCTAGCCTCATTACAAATATAAAATATTTCCACCTCGACTGCAAGTTTTTACTGATTTCTGAAAAGAATTTGTAGGACTTGTCTTTTTAATGGTGCCTAGCATGGGAATTTATCAGTGACTTTAGTTACACCATGTTTTCATATAGAAATAGAAAAATGTCTCCTTAATGCACAGATATGTAGTACTTCATACAAATCAACCTCTACAGACTAGTTATTTAATAATATTTTTTGGAAAACAATACTATTATTCCATACCCCACAAGAAATGTTGGCCTGTGCATGTGTTTCCTTATGCTGTAAAGCCACAGAACAATCCCAATTTGGCAATGATAACTGTGATATACTGTGGAAAGGTTTCATGGTAATTTTCATGGGTTTTGTTAATAACATACATATGTACTCAGTACAATGCCCACAGGCCATAGAAACATTCTAGAAAATTGCTCCTCATTGTCATTGTAAATAATTCACTCACAGCAATATTTTTAGGTCAAGCATATCAAAGTTGCAGTAAATGCAATGGACCTTGACATAATAGGAGCACTGCTTTTACAGCAGTGGAGGAAGAGGAGAGGGAACGCACTTCCCATCCATGAGAGATCAGTTGCTGCTCCCCAGTGTGCTCATCACTGTGCTTGAGGACAGCAGAAGTGGTACTAAGTGTTTGTTATGAGGTTTGGAGTTGTTGGGGTTTTTATGGTTGGTTTTTGGGGTTTTTTTGTTGGTTTTAATTACCTCTAAGTTTTTTTTTTTTCTCCCTGGCTTCTGGCACAAGATGATTTAAAACATCCAACCCAACAGCTTCTGTATCAATTCCGTAACTTCTGCTTAGCAAGTACAGAAACACACTTGGTTGTACCTCTAAAATTACAAGTCAAAGAATTTCTGATAGAAATAGTCTGTGATATTCAGGACCATGACAGGACGAATATGATAGACTTGCTTTTTGGCACAGCTGACACAACCACATTAACATCTCTTGCTTTACAGATGGTGAAGTGACACAGTAAGTTAAAGAGTTAAATATAGAAGTCATTTATAGTTGAAATAGAAGCAGTATCTAGACAATTTTAGACTCCAACCATGTCTTTCTGGGAAAAAAAAAAAAAAAAAAAAAAAAAAAAGAATGCTCCTGCAATTCTGACTTTTACTTCATGTAAATACCTGGTTTTCTTGCCAACCACATTTTTTTCTTTCCTCTATTAACATATATCTTTGTTCCTTGCCAGAGTTACAATGGTAACCAATTATTTTTCCAAGCACTGGTATGGTCACACCCATTACAGAATAATTTTCACATCTTGCCTTCTCTTTTATTTAGGTTTGTATAATTTTGTTTGAACTTTACTTTTTTTTTTTCTTCCCGTACATCCTCCTTAAGTGCAGAAAGTGCCAGAAACTTAGACCACATTGCAAAGAGCCCAGCCAGGGCTAGCTAAAATAACCTGATGTCTCTTTATTTTACAAGAAATCACTGATCCTTTTCAGCCAAAAAAGCATTTGTAATGGCACCACACAGTTAACACATTTAAATTTATCTGACATTACTCCATAGATACAGCAACTACAAGTTCTTTCCTAATTTAAAATAGATTATTTCATCCCCTTGAAATGCAACACATGCAATTTTTTGAACTTAAGAGTTTTTTTTCAAAATATAGCTCCTCCTTCCCCACCCCCCTCCCCCAATTCAGTAATGTTTTGAATATTAGTGCCAGAAATTACATGGTAACACATAGAAGTGGGGATGAACTTTGAAGACAAGCAGAAGCCTGTCATGATTTAATTTTTAAAAATTAAACTTTCCATTGTACTGCATTTCCCCCACATTATTTAGGAGTACAACCTGAAAAAGAGGCAGCAGAAGCATAATGATTAACTTTTCCTGCTGTTGCACCTAAAGGGTATTCACAAGCTCAGTATTTCCATGGCTGTGGTAGGGCCTTCACTTCATAACAACCAGCAATCACACACTGAACACAAATATGTCTGACAAACACACATAACAGAAGGCTTATGATTGAGTTGAGCAATTATTGATCTGAGGAGGAAACAGGGTAGGTCTTCAAATTGCACAGCTTTCAAATACAATTCTTATGAAAACTGACAGAAATTCCCAGCTTCTACATCTTCTTATGAGACTGCCTTTGCACTGCCACTAGAAATGAAAACACCCTTCCCCTCCTAGGTTTGGATATGAACTAACACCAGAAATTCAGGGAAAGCTTCAGGTACAGAAACTAATCCACACAAGGCATGAGTTAGAACAGAAACTGTCTGTATTTCACAGCAAATCAGAAATAAGCCCCCCAGATCTGCACACAGGATATAGGTCCATAGTATGTATTTTCTTATCTTTCCTGATTTTATTTCATGAAATACAGCTGCTTCCAAGAGAACCCTAAAATTTTTGATGTTTTAATAAATCTGCTTTAATCTAACAAGTTCACAAAGAGATTATAATGAGACCTGATATATAAATTTCTGGGTTGTGTTTTGTTTAGTGGGGTTTTTTGTGAGTATTTTTTTAATCATCATTATTTTCTCCACTAGGAATGCCACATGACATCTTTATGATGAAAAAAATGTCAAAAATGGACCAGATACCACAAATCTATGATACCAGTGCTTAGAAGGTACAAATACCAGGCCAGGTAAAGAGGAGAACTGGAAAGCAACGTGTGCCTGGCTTTCAAGATAGTGGATGCTTTACCTTGCACTCAAGAGAAATGACAATACACATAAACTGCATAGCTCAGCTATGGTGCCACCTCGGGGTACCAGCAACTTGTCCCACTAATCATACTGTTCAGCTAATTGATTGCATGGATCTATTATTTAGTGATTAAACAGTTCAAGTATTTTACCACAGGCATTTTGAAACACTGAAACGAAAAGAAATACAAAAATATTAGTTTTAGCTAGTGAGAGTTGAGTCCAGGTGGTTGCCCTCAAAAGTCAACATCACCATCTGATGTGTAAAACATTCCTAATTATCATAGAGTACACCCCATGCTAATTACCGTGCTTGCCTCAAAATAATGAGCCATGGTAAGCCTCGAGTTCATGACAATAGATTTACATTTAAAGGCCATCCAGTTCACTCAGTATCAATACGCTGCTGGTTACCAGACCAAAAGAATGATGAAATTAGGCTCTCCCACAGACAGGGACAGTGACCATGCTTCAGGGAGGCCACAGACTGCTAGAAGGATAACAAAACTAAAGGAACTTTGAGAGATATTCAGGATATAACTGTAGGAGACAGAAGGAAAAAAAAAGACATTACTTAATAGACAGCAGCCAGCTGTGGCTTACAGCAAATCTTAAAAGAAATCTTTGTAGACTCTCCAGGAATATCTCTGGACACCCCCAAAACAATTGCAGGAGATTGTTCCAGAAGTTCATGTGGATCATGGTCTGCTACCTAATGAATTCAGATTCTCTGCTGGTTTTGTAGTCAAAATACTTTTATCAGTTTCAGTGAAATTATGCCAATTTGTACAAGCTGAGGATTTGGTAAGCCAACACACAAGAGAACTGTAAAAGAAGTATGGTCCCACACATCCTACACTAAGGGAAAAAATACAGAGGTAGATGTCACTCTTGGGGGAGGAGGAAGAGGAGAAACAAAATAACATGTACTTG